TTGGAAACCACATTAACCGAATTAAATGGTTTAGACCGTCGGCTGGTTGCGCATAATTGTGGTCTTTTACTTGAAGTCTCAAGCACCTATCAGTTCTGCAATGAACTATTCAAGAGTTTTCATCCATTCTTCGCGAGAAAGTTCATGGACGTTCATTATTGTCTACTGGGTTAAATTTATACGCTCGTATTTTTGAGAAATAACGTGCAGAAAATTTGCATTTATCAACCAAGCATAAAATCTCCATTGGTTTTCATTTTTTATTTATATGTTTTAAACATGTTTTTCATACGTATACGGCACATGTATTGATACAGTAGCTAGTATGCAAATCCAGGAGCAAGTCAAATGACGTTATAAATGTAACAATTTTTTCTTGGAATTACTTAAAATCACAGAAGCAAATTGATAAGCATAAAAGTTATTTTATATTCTTTGGAAATTCCTAAGATGTTCTTTAGGGGTTGTATACTTTGCTCTGGATCGCTACATGCGGAGGTGTGTTGGTACAATTACAAAGTTTCCATAAATCTCTTGGACGGCATTACCCCACCAAGGAATGCAATAGTTAGTAATTGGTTATATTTATTCCATAAAAGGTGAAAATTCGAGAATAGTGAAACAAAAAAAGTAGTCTACCTGGCAATGGAAAACGCTTCATAGACAGAGAAATCAATTTTTTTGCGCATGCGTTCTTCTATGAATGCAACATAAATAACCACATACAATCAGAGCCCTCTATTAGTAACATATGTCAGTATTACTATCAATAGTTTTCAATTATAGCAACAAATAACTTACGAAGTAAGCACGGTTGCCTGAAAATTGCTTAGTCTCAGTCTTCTTTTTGTTCTACTTTGAAAAATTTGATAGAAATTGAAACATTATAACTCAAATTGTGTTTCCATTTCTTGTGTTTTATTTTTGACATTGCACAAGTGAAGTGAGCAGTTGCACTTCGAGGTGAAACACGTATCTCTGGTGAAATAAGCAATAATGTTTGTCTTGGTGTTTGAGTTTAAATGCTGAAACAATGATGCCATTTTCACAAGAAGAATTATTTGTGGTCGACGATGACAACTTATAAATAAAGTACATTTGAAGGGATCAGAGATGTTACGATAATGTCAAGTTATCATAAGTGTATACTCTTTACTTTTTATAGCCTATCATGGCTAAACTCTATGACTTCTGGGTCTAGTGGTGACCGTAGAGAAGATTTTAGAGTATGCTTGAGCTATTGTATGACATCTTGTCGTTATACTGAGACCTATCCAGGAAAGCTACCATATTATTTAAGTTTATTTGGTTGGAAATGTTCTGACGAGTGCAAGTATAGTTGTATGCATGAAATTACTCATAATTCTATTTCAAGAGGATTGAATGTTGAACAATTTTATGGCAAGGTTAGTTTTTTTATATGTGGCAACTACAATCATGACTTATTTCTGCCATTTCCTTTTTTATATTTTAAATTTTACCCCAGAAACCCTTAAAATTTATTGATTTTGTAGTGGCCTTTTATTCGGCTTGGTGGAATTCAAGAACCAGCATCCACAATATTCTCAATTGGCAATGCTCTTGGACATTACTTTGGCTGGAGAATGTATAGAAAACATGTCAATCCTAATTATTCTATGTATTCTACTTGGTGGTTGTATAACAAGGTATTTATTTTATTTAATGTCATTTTTATATTTTGCATAAAGTACTTTAGACTAAAGACATATTTACCATTTATAGGTCAGTATACATGCTTGGTTTTGGTCAATAATTTTTCACACAAGAGATCTTGTATTCACTGAAGTAAGCGACTTAAACTCACTCTATTTTATTTTTTTGTGCAGCACATACATATCTTATTTTGCATGTGATCATCATAGTGGTAGCCAATAGATTGCAACTACCTATAGTCATTTATGGAGACCTTAATATGAGAAATATTGTCACTTATGTATGTCTACAATGTCACTTATGTATATGTACAATGTCGATAAATAGTCAAATATCAATAAAACACTACAAAACACTACAAAACCAACACTAGAATCAACACTAAAATGATCTGTTAAAATATTCATTTTTCAATGATTATTTACATATTATATATTGTAACATCATAATTCTTCAAAGAGCTTCATACATGTAGGTAGTTTCAAGCTGTTTTATTTATATATTTATAGAGAATGGATTATTTTTGTGGAACATCGTTGGTTTTAGTATCTATCTACTCATATTTTGTAAGGTATTAACATGTTTATGACTAAATGCAATACATAGGATGATGTGATTTTGGATGAAATGTAAAATGGTTTATAAAATTTTAATATGCTAATATTTAAACATCCATCAAGTAAAATTAAGTTTAGATTACATTAGCATTTTGTGTAAATTTGGCAACAATACATAACTTAGGTTGAATATTTGTGTAGAGACAATAGCAAATTTTTTAAAATAACTTTCTCAGAAAAAATTTAGCTTTTTGATGTAATTTTATCTTACATTATGGATGAAACTGTAGCAACGTTTGTATTTGTGGAATAAAAATAAGAAACAAGTCTGAATAGAAAAGAGTCAATTTTTTAATTAAGTATTTTTTTGTACCCAAATGTTAAGTTTACCTACGTACGTTCTCAAAAAGTATATCTAAAAACAATTTATCAAAATTGGAGAGAAAAAATTTCCACTGGAATTAAAATCAATCATTAGTGCTCACTTTTACTTCGATAACTTATTGTTCAGTATGTTACGTTTGCTTGTCAAAAATTAATAACAGATATGGAGTTAGGAAGAATAAAATTAATCATGCAAGTGCAAGGTTTCATAAATAATATTGGACATGATAAATAACACTCGTTTATTGCAATTTTATAGGACTTTTGGCAGACAGCATCATCAGAGGTGTGTTTATTCATTTTTATTTCATGCTTTAAAGTTAAATAATTAAAACAATAAGTTGTTTTACACCTTTACAAAAGTACTTTAAAACTTTTACAACCTTACTAGAAGAGCTTATATTTTAGCATCTTTTTTTAAGTACTCCTCTGCTGCTTTGGCGTTAATTGAAAATTTTTGTCGCATTTAGATATACATGTACAGTATTTATTAGTCTATCGATGACTCACAAATATGTCTTGCTTTTTTGTGTTTATTCAGATGTCGTTTTTTTGGTCTTCTTCTCTTCATTTTATTCATTTGTCACTGTGGTTACCTTTCCTTCGTGCGTTTTGATTATGGTTATAACATGAAAGTAACGTTGGCTGCTGGTACGTAACGTTAATTGTCATTGATATTTAGTAAATCATCTGGCCTAAAATCGTCTCTTTATGTTAGTGTCTCAGTTAGAAAAAATAAAGAATGGTGTTTTTACATTTTTATTAATTCTTGTTTTAGGTCTTGTCAATGTATTAGGGTGGCTCTCCTGGTCTTTTTACGTAAGTGTTTCCATGCTGCACAACTGTGGATAATGATGTATTTGTGATACAGGTTGCCATTGCTACAATGTGCTGCAAATGCTGTACAACTGTGGATAATGATGTATTTGTGATACAGGTTGACATTGCTACAATGTGCTGCAAATGCTGCACAACTGTGGATAGTGATTTATTTGTGATACAGGTTGACATTGCTACAATGTGCTGCAAATGCTGTACAACTGTGGATAATGATGTATTTGTGATACAGGTTACCATTGCTACAATGTGCTGCAAATGCTGCACAACTGTGGATAATGATGTATTTGTGATACAGGTTGCCATTGCTACAATGTGCTGCAAATGCTGCAGAATTGTGGAATATGTCTCATAACTGTGGGAAATGTCTGCTCTTTTCCAATGAATCGTCATCGCTTGTGAATCCTGAAATTTTTCTTGTCTCGTTTTTACTAGAACAGAATTTCTCGTCCTTACGTATGGAAATGTGCTTTCATCAATATCTCTTTGGTGTTATTGATTGTCCTTGAGGTTAGTAAGTCACTTTAAGATCGTGTTGTAGCTATTACGTACATTTAGAATTAATGAACAAATTATCGAACCTTTATTATTTTAGATTTGTGACTTTCCACCTATCTGGGGAATTTTAGATGCACATGCTGTCTGGCACCTGACAACAATTCCTTATTGCTACTATTGGTACAGGTGATGAGTTGCAGTTATTGATTTTTCTGTTGTTGATTATCTGTGTATAATATACTTATGTGAATCAACCATTTTTCAATTTAAGTTTTTTCTTGGATGATTACTTTCATGATGAAAAATTTGGAAAAATCCCATGATCAATGAAAATAAACATTCTCTAACAATGATTTCAATCTTAATTTATGATGTTTATTTCGTCATAAACGTTGACGTGTACGTACGTATGTATGGTGACGTTGAAGCCAGATGTTCATTTCGTCATAAAAGTTGACGTGTACGTACGTATGTATGGTGACGTTGAAGCCAAATAATCGAACTGATGTTTGCACTAACTTGGATGGCGTTTAGAAACAGAGATTGATAGATTGAAATTAAATAATTGCAATATAATTATTGAAATAGAATATTGAATTTAACTACCACGATGCTTACGTGAACGCCAATGAATGTGGAGTTAGAATTAATTTACTTTTTCCTTGTTCTTACGTGCATCTATCTTCATACAATCAAAAATATATGTATTCCAAAGAAACTACTTCCTTTTCCAATGTATTGATCACAAAAACGTGATCAATTTTAAATTATTTGAGTTCAAGATGACGGCCTACGAAGTACTGATTATCTAAGCGCTCCTATAGGAAATGCTGTCACGTTTAGCGTTCCTTGTGGACTGTTGACCCTTTCGCCACCTATACTTTCACCATCTTCCCACGGCCCTGATTTAAGAGCAAACATAGGGAAAAATAATAGTTTTCAAAGAATTTGTACTTTAATGATAGTTTTTTAAATTAAAGCTTAGTAAATGGTTAGCTGAACTGAAGAATATAAAGTATAGGATAATGATGTATTTGATGGATAACGATGTATCGTCTGAAACTTTTATTGTCGCATGTGGGTAATTAATGAGAACAGTGTACTTAAATAGTGGACTATAGCACATACACCAAACGCATATCAAAATAATTTACAGTGCTAATATAATGGATAAATTTAATATATCATAAAACTATAATCATTATATGTGAATTTGAATGTCATTTTTTTATTTATGTACAAAAAATTATTACTTAGTGTTACACTAACATCATTATATATTTTATCTCTATATTTTAATTGATTATAGTGATGTAAAAATATGCAAAAAAACATAAAACATTCATAAACTTACTTAGTAGCCTTCATATAGAATATAAAGAAAACAAGAACGATAAAAAGAAAATTGCCAAGTGTTCATGCACAAGTGACACTTTTAGGAAGGCAGTTACGTTGCAAGATCAATTGTGTATTTTCAGTTTTCCACAAAAAACATACTCCATGATTATTTGTTAATCTCCTTCCATTAAGTTAGATCAATATCAGAAAAACTAGTCTCATCTTTACTGTTTCCTTCACTTCCCGAAACAGACGGCCTCTCACCTCTGGAAAAGAAATCTTTACTTAATGTGTCCTCACTTTCAGAATCAAATTCTTCTTCGTCATCAGTAAAAATATAAGAAAAATCAAAATTAGATTTTGGTTCTAGTTCAACTGTTTCCCCAAGAATCAAATCGTTATGATAAAGTGACTCTTCTTTTAGTATTGGGTTCATTGACTCGGCGCCAACTCCGTTTTCACGAAGCAACAAAGTCAAATCTTTATTGAAATTATTTTTCTTACGAAGACGATGTATTTCATCACTGATCTTTTCAAGTGACTGCAACGCAACAGCATATTCTTCTTTTGCCACGCGCAAATCCTTGTTAAGTGAAAATACTCTTTGTTTATGTAGCTAAAAAATGAAGAAATTCACGCATTGAATGTAGAACAAAATGCATTCAAAAATATATTGGGTTAAAGCACAATTATAAAATGCTAAATCCCTCACCAAAACATCGGTTGTCATTACCTCATTATATAAAATAGAATTATCGCAAAAACAAATCCGAAGGTTTACGAACCTCTAGTTGTCTATTTGACGCAGCTTTCAGTTCGAAATATCCTCTAAACAAATCAAAAAATGCAAATGAAACATTTAAGGCACATGAAAATCATGATTTTTTTCAACTAATTGACTCTCATAAATTTGCTTGAACATGCTTCAGTAATATTCATCAATTAAAAGGGGAAAAAATTGATGGTAGTGAAATAATTGTAAACTACAATAAAAAAATTCATCGCCTATGGCAAAAATACCTTGATTTCAAAATCGCCCCTCTTAAATTTTTGTTCATTTCTTTAACTTTCTTTTGTAATGTTTGAAAATTGGTTGTCGCTTGGTGATGTGAGCAACTACTTTCTCTTTTCAGTTCGGCAGCTTCCATTACCTTAGGTAAACAAATGCATAATAATCAGCGCCAATAAGTTGATATATTTTTCAAACCTAAACCTATCACTCTTTTCTTTCAATAACTACGACTAAAATAAAATGTATGCCAATGTTTCATGGGTAATATTTATTAACATAAATGACTGGTTGATGTTTTCCTTTGCAGTTTTTTTGACAAAACCATCCGCAGTAAAATCTTTTGTCAAATATACAAAAAATGAACACAACGTGTTATTCTTTTCAGTAATTTTTAAGTTTGTTATTCTTCACTAAGTATTTAAAACTCAGAAGTATTCAATTTTTATTTATGATGCCAATTATTCTTATTGAGTAATTACGATAAGATTCAGGGGATCAATGCTCATTTGACAGGAGGGGTGCAGGTTTTCCCGGGGGGTGCATTATTGTCCTAGCTAAAGGTCCCAGGGCCTCGGGCTATTGTAGATTTATAGACTTGCAGATGAGTGAACCTTGCGTAATGAAAGAGTTATTAGATTTTTAAGAATTTTTTATAAAGCAAAGTAAATTATAATTCCTATAATTGTATAGTTGTACAGTTCTTTTAATAACCAACAAAACTTCATAAATCATCATCCAAATATTACCAAAGACGAGCGAATCACTAATATACAACAGTTTGCAAATGTGGTAGTATAAAATACATAATTGCCTTCTACAGTCCGTAATGCCATTTTAGAATTTTTCTTGAGAGATGCACACGATCTCCTTCACCGCCAAAAAATACGCACCAAGTAAGATTTAAAGAAATACACCCGATGTGCGTTAGGTACCTACACATTCATTAAACTTTTAAAAAATTTCTGTTTTTTTCAGTAAATGTTTCTTACCTCCTGTGTGGCATGATTAAGTAATTCTTGTAGAGCTGCATCAAACACTCGACCTTCACTTGTCATTATTTTTTCAAGATCTGCTACCCTTATTTTGGCCGATTTATATCTTTCATTGGCTCTTTCGCAGTCACTTGCTGTTTTTTGGAGCTGCTTAAACGCCTTAAATGAGAAACAAAACAGCGAAATCAATAAATCCATGAAAAAACAAAACACTATTTTGTACAATCAATTTAATGTTAGATAACTTAAATGTTCTAAAATATCTGAATTTTCCTTGACTTTATATTAAGTAAATGACAGTAGACTTCCTTGAAATGTACTTAGTGTACTTGTACATCTCTTTTAAAGCTAAAATTGACATAGCTATTTTTCAATGTAACATTTACATGACCAGAGATCACGTTTACACGACCAGAGATCACGTTTACACAACAAGTGGCCACAAAAACACCAGAATAAAAAAATGAGTCTGAACAGTTTAAAAGGGTCTACTGTTATTTCAAAAGCTTCGTTAAATAAAAAAAATTTAACAACGAAAAATTTTATTTTCATTTGCACTTTCATAAGCAATTTAATGAGGAGTTTTGCACATATTGTCACATAGCATACAACCAATTTTAGACACAACAGAATAAAATAATAATAACAAAGACATATATACAACAGTCACACACAGGGTGCGAATTAACGGTGTGCAATGTGCAATTTGCACATCGTTTTGGCTAAAATGAAAATAATTGCACATCACTTTTTCAAACGATGTGCAAAAAAAGTTTTTCATTAATTACTATAACATATATTGAAAAAAAAAGTTTTTAAAATCTTAAGCCATGTAATTGGCCATGTTGACACAATGTCATCAAATTGAAAAACGTCGTCACTTTGAGACTGGAAAGTCTGTCAACAGTCGACATACTGGTTGACATACATGGTTCTTCTGACCATATACGGATGTAATTCATTTATAAATATTAATTTTTGCATTGCGCTGTTTTGTAGTTTGTGCATCATTACTTTTTTTGGCATCATAGCTATTTTGAGTGTTTTCGATAAAATCAGGAGACATTTTCCTTCTGATTCCAAAAAAAACCTTTAAAATTTTCAAATTTGAAAAATAAGCCAAAAAGATTTTTGGGAGCGAAACCAAACTGGCAACCTTGATTAACCGTATTTTTTGCTTTTACGCATAGTTTGTAATATAACAAAAATATTTTTTGTTATAAGTAAGCATCAATAAAACGTATTAGATAATCAGAAGACAAAAGTAGCTATATGCGGTGCATGTTTCTCTTGTCGCTTTTGTTTTTCTTGCCATGATGGCTTCTTCTTCGAAAGGTTGTACTAGCAAAATTAACACAGTAGAAAAATGGATAGAAACATTAAATGCCGACTGGCTTGAATACGAGAATGATGGCCAAGTGGTGAATTCACTGCGCTGTAAATTTGTGGAAACAAAGAGGACAGAATAACAAGCGCAAAAAATTTCTCTCGCACATTCATAACAGGATCAGCTGTTGTAAAGAAAAACGCAGTGGTGAATCATATGAATTCTGAGTTGCCTTTCAAAAAGTATATCCCCATTTGCAAGGTCCTGGAGAAGGGAGGCGTTGATCTAGGTTAATCGTATCGAACAGACCGATCAGCCGCTGAGTTGTCAGATCACATTTCTGAGGTCATAAAAGGAAATCTTGATGAAGATTTAAAGGTATTTAAAGATATTTTTCAGTTTTGTGCGATGGCAGCACCGATACCAGTGTAAAATCACAATAATTATTTTACGTATTATATGTGAATAAGAACGGTCATAGTACTTGCTAATTGATGACGGTTGAAACAGTTGAAAACGAAGATGCTTCAGGGCTGAAGGAAGCTATGAACGAAGCTTTTGCCCGTTTTGGCATTACAAACTTTGAATCGAAACTAGCTGCAACTGGTCTAGATGGGGCAAGTTTTAATATGGGGAGAAATACTGGTTTAGAAGCTCGTCTAAAGAAGTCGCTCCTTGGCTCACTGTCGTCCACTGCTTCAATCACCGTCTAGAATTTGCTGCTGCCGACGCATTCAAGGCTACGTTTTTTGCACAAGTAGATGAAATAATGCGTCAACTGTTTTCTCTGTACCAGAAGTCACCGAAGAAACTGAGAGAGCTGAAAAAACTAGCTGAAGTGTATGGAGAAACTGTCTATAAGCTCATCAAAGCAAGTGGGACAAGGTGGATAGATCACAAAGTGCGCGCCACGAAGGTTTTCCTGGAGAACTACGGCATGTATATGCAGCATCTTGAACAGGTAAAAATGGCTAATTTTCCAACTTTTGCTATTTTCCATCAAATTTGCATCGCCTCCTTAAATTTTCTAGAATAAAGTTTGCCTGTAATAACAGTAATAAGCATTTTTATTAAATTATTTAATGTCATGTAATATGTTACTTTTTGTTTCTTATGTAGGCCGCAACTACTTCACCTGATGCACAAAAGCAGAAGATAAATGGATTCCTAGCTAAATGGAAAGACGCTCGTTTCCCAATGTATGCTTCTATCTTTGTGGACATTATTGGTCCTTTGCGTGTTTTGTCTCTTGGACTACAGTGATAACTGACGACAATGATCCAGTTAAAGCTTTAAGGAGAATCAAGGAATTTGACTGGACTATGGTCAAGCTTCAAGGTAGTACATTTGGCAAAGCTACTTCCGATAAATTTAGGAAGGATTGCAAACCTACTGGTGACGACAAGAACCAGATTTCGTATCAAGGTGTTGTGCTCACAAATTATCCCCGTGCACTAAATGGAGCTGCGGGACAACGACAAGAGTGGATAGATGCGATTATCCTCTGTTTGGGCAATCGCTTTAGTGATCTTCAAGAGACACCAGTTTACAAACACCTTTGTCCAATTATAGACACCCAGTCTTGGCCAGGTGAGGAAGTTAATTTGGTGAGCTATGGAGACGAATCGGTTACGCTACTTGTCGACCACTTCATTCAGCTTTTGAAGCATAACGTATGGGATGTGTCGAACGATACGATGCTGACAGAAGAATGGAGTGGGCTTAAGTTGTTGATTTCAGAGACGTATGGCAGAGCTATACCATACTTAGATGTTTGGGCTGCCATTCTCTCTTCACCAGTTAGTAAAGAAAAGTTTTAAACGTTCTTAACATTGTGGAACTGTTATTAATTACGCCCATGTCTAATGCTGTGGTTGAGCGAATGTTCTCAACAATGGCCAAAATAAAGCCACACCTACGTAACAGAATGTCAAGAGGAAGATTGGACAGTCAGCGAATTAGTGAGGAGGGTCCATCAGTGGTCCGCTCCCGCAATAGAGCAGTGGTATGAACAAAAGAAACGAAGGATTGGATATGGAGGCCATGCTTACCCAGAGAAGCGAAAGAAGAAAGTCGATACGTTAGAGGCATCAAGCTGCAGCAAACATGCTTATTTTTCGGACCAAGACTCGTCAGAAAGTAACTAGTCGTGTACTATAACATGATAACTTGTAAAAATGTATACGTTGATAAAATGTTAAAAAAATATTACGTTCTAAAAATGTTAATTTAGTAAATAGTGCAGTATAATAATTAATGTAATATCATTTGATTATGCCTCTGGAGAAAAATTTTTGTCGAAAAAATTTGCACATCGTTTTTTCTAAACTAATTCGCACCCTGGTCACACACATAAGATATCCAGTTATAATTTAAAAATATGGACACCAAAGATTATTTTAGTACATAAACTACAATACTAGAGTATTTTAGTTCTTTTATATACATACATACTTAGTATTTTACCTGTCTAGCATCGCTTTTGGCAACATAAAATGGTAGAGCTCTATCAACACATTTCCCAAGTTCCTTGCGTTTCTGTTGTAATTGCTCATTTGCTGATGAAAGAACTTGTTGATGAAGTCGTTGTGCCTCCTAAATAAAATTAAAAATGTCACAAAAGATCAATCTCAGGTCAATCTAGAGAAAACATCCCAAGTATATAGTTGTATATGTTGTTCACAAAAAAATTAATACAAAATTGTCTCATGACAATATGGTCATGACGTGTGGTTGCTAATCTCAGATTGTGTTTTTTCAACTCTTTGTTTCTTGCGTTATTGTTGAATAATTTAATGCAAAAAATTGCTTTTTTCACCACACAGTTGACAGGTATGGTAATAGGAACTTTACAAAAAACATTACAAGTTTTGCACCATCTTTGCCACAATGTAGCTATAGTGACTTAAATAGGTAACACAGAAAAGTAATTCGAACTTATTGAGTATGAAATTCAAATACCGATTAAAAGTTTGAAAACAAGTGGAATTTCTCACATTAGCACAATCACTTTGGGATTAAAAAATTTGTGGTTTGTGACATTTGGCAGATGGTCGCATAAACATGTCAATTTTTAGCATATGGTTGCAAATTGTAGTGGTTGGTGTAAGTGACTCAAAATTTAGGTCAAGTTTTGCTTCTATCCAGGTGGTATGGATAAGAATCACAGATATCAAATGTGGACATTAAGTGCATTGTTTCATTGTATGTGTACTGTACAAATTGTTTGTGTATATTGTATGTTTTGTGCATATCTACAGCAACTATTTCTTGTGTATGAACATGCATTATATCTCCATTATATGTGCCTTGTTTGGGTACTTTATGTCCATTTTCCATCTTGTACAAGCATATTATGTGTTGCATAAGAATGTGCATTGTATGCCTATTGTACATGCATTGCACATGTACTGTGGTACTCTACATGACATAAGTACATAGCAAACTACATATGTAGAAAACTCTATTAAAGTAATGATTCATGATTTAAAAAAACATAAAAAAATTGAAGTTTCCAAAATCTGATCCAGAAGAGAAAGCAAGTGGAATTCACGATGAAAATGAAGATCAGCCAAATGTTTAACAGAAATACATAAAAATCTCCCAGTACTGAAAACAGTTTTGGAGCAAACTGCAAAAGTGTTTTGAGTTGGAAAATGCTACTTCACAGAACAAATTAAGATTTTCACAAGGATGAAATATTCACAGACTCAGAAAACGAAATACATATTCTCAAAAGTGATAGGACATCTAAGCCACCTGAAATGTTTTAAACATTGATTATACATGTGGCAAAATTTTCATCACATTTTATCATTCTTGAAAATAAAAACAACTTAGACATTCACTTAAGAACAAAACAAACTTAAAGCAAAGTTGCATTAAGTACCATGGATCCGTTTATGTCATAGTTCACAAGAGATTTGGCTACTGCTTCATTTAATGAGATATACTAAAACGGATGATGACTCTTTGCTCTCCTTTGAAATAGCTCATTTATTGAATAGATAGTGCATATTTATTAAAACAAAGTGGTATTAAAAACAATTACCACATTACAAGTTTGAACCTTTTGAACAGTACCTAGCAACTTAATGAAACAATATAGTACAAAACTGTTACACTGAAACAATATGTTACGTAGGTTTCGAAATTAAGAATGTTGCGATTTATTGAAATTAGAAGTTTGTTATGATTGGCAAGTGTAATAATTAAGAATTGTTTTGTAATATGTAACTTTAACCACTGTTTATTGTTTCCATTAAAATACGTTCGTAAACTTAAACCAAAGCTCAACTCAATTCTACGTATATGATGTAACCTTAGCGTAACTTACGTTTGATTCCATTTCTAAATGATTAACTGAAGTACAGAAGCCATTCAGCCGATCCAATTGCTCCTGAAGAACAACATATGAAATTTTTAGATTTCTCTATGCGTAATTTCATGATAAGTTATAGAAATACAGCTCTTATAATATTATGCTTTATATGTTGAGCTTATGCTGAAAAATAATAATTATCTAATTTGCGCATATGCGTACGAACAACATTACCAGTACCGGTAGCATGAAGCAAATTAAACCTACGTGTCTATGTTTAAGATTTTCGCTTCTTATAAAATCCTCAAATGGAAATATGTTACCTGAATTCTTGGATCTAATCCTTCGCTTTCCTCATTCGAGCAAGTTAAGTCACATTTATCATCCATGGTTCTAAATTGTGGTCATAGAAAATTATAATATATATAATTGTATAATTGTAACCTTTGAAGTGTCAACCTTCATAAAATCTTGTACCCATGTCCCAGTGAAGTTTACCGGGCAGGTTTTTATGCGTCACAGTTTGATATTTTGTATTTTGCAATAGTGATCAGCCAATCAGTGCTAAGACAATGTAAGCGATAATGATAGGAATGTGTGAATTTAACATTCTTTTAAGGGTTTTTTTGTTTGTTATGCCAATCATAAATTTCACAACAACACAATGCATTAAATTGTGACAAAGGCATGTTTAGGACATTAAAGCAGACTGTCCATACCACTAGTTTGGACGAATGTTATATGAAAGAATGTTATTTAACTTCATTTAATTTAACTAGTTTGGACGTTGGGTAACTTTGGTTGATATCTAAGCTAAGATTTTATGAGCATTGAAAACATTCGATTTTTTCCAAGGTAAACAATACTCTGTTCTGTTCTCTCAGACTATTTTAGTATCTTTTGAACTTCATAATTTATTCTTTGAAGGTAATAATTTATCCTTTATTTGGCTTTGTGCATGAGCAAAAGAGTACAATGGAGCCAAGCCAACCTTGTTGTTGTCATTACGTCATTACGTCATTACGTCATTAATTCCGAGCGTCTTATCGATGATCGTTTGTAAATTTCAGGATCAAGACCAAGGATAATTTAAAACGCAGATTTAAATGCAATTTTTGCTTTTTATCTGCAAGGCGTAAATGTGTTAAATTTTGATTTCTTAGTGCTAAATGAAGTCAACTAAATTGTTCCTACAAAAACAGTTTTTAATAATGAGTTGTTATGGAAACGCTTACATGTAAAGAAAAAAGCAAATCCAACGAAATCGTTGGAAATAGACATGAAAATGATATAACTTCCGTCTCTTATAAGCAAGAAAAGCGATTTCTTGACTATGAAATGATCAATACCAATGACTCTGGTGATTTAAACGTGGACGTGAAATTGATTTCAAATGCTGGCAATCAATTATTGTTTAAAGCTCGATCTAAGACACCAAAGCCTCCAGATTTGCCAAGGTCTACTGCATTTCGTCGAAAAAGCTCAGTTTTTAGACAAGAGTATGATGATGAACGAGATTGTGTTGAAGATGATGACATTGATTACAGTTGCATTGAAAGATCCCCGGGTGATGGTTGTTTTTCTGAATGTACTGAGGAAGATTTTGAACAATTATCTGATTGTTATTATGATGACGAGCTGCTCGAAGAAGGAATTAATCTCATAGAAGATGAGTCTGATGGTGATTGTAAAATTTAACCTTTTCTTGCAAATCTTCAAACCTTTACAATGTGTCCATTTTATAATTATACTCTTTGTAACAGAATCCAAGCATGTTTTTTGTACTAATCAGTGGGATTGATAAAATCTTCCCACAATGATTGAAATCATTGGTAAAATTCAACTTCTTTCTCCATCCCATCACTCATTACAACACCATAGCCAAAAAATCCTTCATGAAACACTAGATTTTACTCATGCACTGCAATAGATTGGTAGGGGGAAGGGGCTGATATTCATAAATGCATGGTCTGCTTTGTTAGGATCTATTAAAATCAATTGTGATTAAGAATTATTGCCTCTCCAAATTATCAATTTGTCACCATCCACCTTAAATTCACATCTAACCGGATGAAATTTATTTATTGTCTTGTTTTGTAGAGTTATCGAACATTACTGGCTCAAGTGAATCTCGTCCCTCAACAGCTGCCCTTCAAGAACCACTCCATCGTGAGAAACTTGTTCATACATTAAAGCAAAGATCAACAAAAATTCGATCGGCAAATGTTGATTCAAGAGGTCACTGGATTGCATATGGAACAGAAGAAGTTCAACCTGCTCTAACATCTAGCCTCTTTCCAAATATGCCTGGAACAATACATTTTACTGTTGATGGGGAACGAGGTAATTGTTACTATATATCAAACATAATGACATAACTAGCTTGTTACTTTTATCCTTCTTTCTACATAGTTTGTCTTCATTCACTAATTACAAAACAAAAAACTTATGAGTTCAGAAATTTGCAAATCAGTTGTAAAAGTTCTAGTAATAATGATCACATCAATGGGATAGTAAAAATATTTGTATTTTATGAATTAGTGAATCAGTTATCTCATTCTTTTTAATTTTTAACTTTCATTGCAGTTCATCCATTTCCTTCAAAAATCAAGAAACATTTAAAATGGAAAATGAGCCCTATAACTCCTAATGTGGTGAAACTATGCATAGCACGATCTGGTTTTCTTCCTACCAAAAGTAAGGGTGTTTAGGTTGGATTTTATTGAGAGATTTATGTTTATTTAGTTATAATAATACAAGAGAACATCGTTGGGCATTTTGTAGTTTCGTGTACAATCGTTGATTTTATATTTAATTTATCTTTTGATTAGCAAATGATATTCAAACCTGGTTTAAAAAAAGCTGATAAATGTGTCGTATTAAACGTGTCCTAAAAGGCGTAAATACTTTTTATTCATGTGTAGTACACGTACACACGACACATCTACTGTACGACACATATTCATTTTTACCCATTAATCTCAATCTCTCTAGAAAATGACTGGCTTGGTTACTGGGGAAGACATATGAAAGCGACGGGATTCAAATCTGTTCGAGAATACCAAAAGGTGTTAAAATGCATTTCGTTTTAATTTTTTTTTGTATGACGGAATTCAAACGCAGTATTAAATTTTGCAAAATGATTCTCCGTCTAGATGACTTGTTCACTGCCTTTATCTCTTAAACATACATTCTGATACTTTCCTACGAATCTTTTTTCTCAGGTTAATCATTTTCCTGGTTCATTTCAAATTGGAAGAAAAGACAAACTGTGGAAAAATCTTTCAAAACTTTTAACACGACATGGAAGAAAGGTCAAAAATGAACAATGTTAGATAATTTTTGCTTTACGCTAATCAATGCCAATCACTCATGAAGTTATTGTCTCTGGTACAGAAATCGCTTTAGTTGGAAATTCATTTTATGGTGGATAATGTTGGTTTAATGTTTTCTTTAACATAGTGATTGCTTTAACATTAGGTTTGACGTTATAGTTTGTATATGTTTATATATAGTTTGTACTTGATATTGCCATGTTTTTAAAATGAGGCACAGGGATTTCTCTCTAGAAAAATAGTTATTAGGTGACCTTTCGGAACAACCATCTTCCATCTTATCCCTGATGTGTTTAATTTAAGACCAATATTTTATGTTTCCAGGAATTTGGATTCATCCCACAGACGTTCATCTTACCGCAAGATTTTAGAATTTTCAAGAGAGTCTGGGAAGATGGTGGAAATAGGCAGAAGTGGATTTTGAAGCCAGTAAAAAAGTGTTTGCTGTTGATGATATGAAGCATCTGAAGCATTTTATGCAATATTTCTAATTTTTTAGCCAGCTTCCGCAAGAGGTATTGGTGTAAGAGTCGTAAATAAATGGAGTCAAATTCCTAAGAAAAAACCTGTTGTTGTTCAGAAGTAAGTGATCATCTTATAACACAACTGACATCTTAGTAAAACCAACGTCTTCTAACACAATGGCTGTTTATTTAATTTGACATCTTGCACACCATGTTCATTCCCTCAATCCTGGTTTCTGGTCGTGTTTGCTTGGTGAATACGTGAAATCAAATATCCATCGAGGAATGCATTATTTTTATCTGCTTAAATCTAATTTCCATTCAGAATTTTGTTTCACAAAAACTTCTCTTTACATTTTAGATATCTTACAAAACCATATCTCATCAATGGAAGGAAATTCGATCTTCGTATTTATGTTTTTGTAACGTCATTTGATCCTTTACGGATATATTTGTTTGAAGATGGACTTGCTCGCTTTGCAACTTGCAAGTAAGTCAAATGCGCTCTTTTAACTTTTTTTCAGAAATTAACCATTCCACAAATTTTGGTGCTTACAATTTTGAAGCATCGCCTTAGAGGATTGTATTGTACGAACGTATCAAGTGTTTCCTTTGCTGTATCCAAATTCATATGATGATTTTGATATGTTTTTAAAACGTATTTTGTGTAAATTTGTGTGATGTTATATTTAAATCTATTAATTATCTGACGTAAAAAATGATGTATATAAAAAATCGTCAGTTGATTTGATTAGTTCACCAGTCTACACAAACCCCTCTACTTGATACCTCAAAATTTTTATCGCTATTTTCTAAGGCGCGTTTAAAAATCTTTTTTTTCCTCCCGACTGGACGCTTATCGAGATGTTACGTAAAATATCCGCTTAAATTATTGTTTTAGATATACTTCATCTAGTAAAAGTCTGGGCAACAGATTTATGCATTTAACAAACTATAGTATAAACAAGAAGAATAATAATGTTTATACTCCTAATGATAACGAAGAAGTTTGTCAGGGACATAAATGGTATAAAACGTTTCTCGTTCTTTATTCTTCGTGACGTTTAGTGCTCTGCGTCGTTTCCTAATGTAGTTACATTCGATTAAATTTAGGTCTCTGAAAGCCCTTTGGGGCTACCTAAAACGGAGTGGAGTGAATACGTCCAAAATTTGGGAAAATATTAAAGATATTGTTGTGAAAACTGTTATATGGTTAGTTTGTTATATCTGCTAAAACGTATTTCAATGCACTTGTTACAACTAAATTATTTCTCAATACGGCCAACAACTTAGCAAATTGTTGCAGCAGCGATGAATGAGAACAATGAAACTAGTGCGTAGTAGTAACCTTTAATGAAATCTTATAATCTTTGATTAGGCATACGTATCGCTTTAAAATACCTATAAAAATGTTGACAAAAACCTAAAAATATGTATTATAACTCATTTTTGACGTCCTTTCAAGTGCATTGACATTTAAGTGATTATTAGGTAAGTTTTTCATAATCTTTATGGATAAAATAATCAAGAAGTTTTTAACAATATTTTACAGCTGTGAATCTACAGTAAATGTACTGATGAAACAAAATGTACGAAACAGGTATTGAAAATAAGTATTTTAAATAAAATATGTTATACAGTTATAGCTACTCGTCTGGTGTTCAAATGTACGTTGACATCGTTACTTCAAAAAGAGCCTGATAAAGAGATACGCATGCGGTACATCCCTTGGTGTATGTAGATGTGCTCTCATTTTTTAAATGCGTTTCATATGTTTTAGTTATTGCTGCAACGAATTATTTGGATTTGATGTTATGCTTGATGAAAATTTGAAACCGTGGATTTTGGAGGTCAATATTTCTCCAAGGTAAAGTTATAGTTTAATTAGAATTTTCACATATTTAACATTTGTTTGTTATAATTGTGTTTTTGGTAAATATTTCGAGTTCTTGTTCGAACCTTTCGTTCAAGTATTTTGTAAATATTTCGCATGTTGTAGCTACGTAGCTATATGTGAACACTTGTCTTTGTCAACAATCTTCCTTTTGTGAAAATCTATTTTCTGGACACACGTTCATTTTGTTGTACTGCCAAAGTTGTCGAAGGACTGAAGTATTTAAAATCGTGGCCAGAGATTTGCCAGGCGGAAAGCGAATTTTCAATATGAACATAATAGCCCAACATAATACTTTTAAAAAAGCCATCACAATAATAAAATAAAGAAGGATATCAATCTGAAGATGTCTTAAGTTAAAGACGAAACGTTATTAATAAATCCTTCTTTATTTTATTATTTTGATGGCTTTTTTAAAAGTATTATGTTGGGCTATTATGTTCAGACTGAAGTATTTTTATTTGATTTAGTACCTAACGTTTAAATATGGACCATCAAATTTGATTTCGCTAAAAATGTGCTGTTTTATCAGCTATTAGAGATATTTATGCATTGTTTATAACAAGCAATATTTTATGAACATCAACTAATTTAAAAATTTCCTATAGTTTACATTCAACATCTCCTTTGGATATGAGCATCAAAGGTCAAATGGTTCGAGACTTGTTAAATATTTCTGGCTATAAAATTCCTGATAATCTACTCAATACAGCGATGAGGTGTGATGATAAAAATGAATCTACATGTATATACCATGACTTGTACTATTTACGCTCGAAATTTGTTTTTAGAAGCAGTTCCTTTAATAATCCGAGTTCACTAGATAAAGGAAGATTTGCTCTAACGTCTGATCAGAAGGCAAAGGTTTGTAAAGTCAGTACAATTTATAGCCAACGTGAGCAAGCTATTTTCACCATTCCCTAAAAGTGACTGGGCATGTTTTTTAAGACGTTGTCGATCACAAATGATCAGCGGTTTGATTGGATGGAAACTAGGAAAAGAGAAAATGAGAATTTTTTAAAATAAAAATGCTAACTCTTTCATTTTTTATGTCTTTACAGCATGGGTTTTACGTCAACAATTATGGTAACGATGTACGAGTTTTTAGTTGTATGTGTTCCCACAGTCGTAGATTTCTGTGTTATCAATTTTTTTTCATTTAAGAGACTGAAGGCAACAATATTAGACATCTTAACCCCAGAAGATATAAAAATTTTAGCGGAGACTGAGGATGAAGTAAGTGAAACTCGCCATTTTTTAGCTATACAGCATTTGAAGTAAATTAATTGTAAAGCGATGTATTTAATTATACAAAAACAGATGTTTTACCCCAGGATTTTTTTGTAGTAGAAAGCGTCTTTAGGTAAACATTGTTATGTGTTTTGTAGTACAGTCGCCGTGGTTGTTTTCAAAGAATATTTCCATCAGAAACCTCTCAAAAATATTTGACTTTTTTTGATTCACCTGTAAGTTCGACTTTAATCTAGCTACAATAAATGTTTTTTTTTATTCATATTTAATTCTTCAATTTCTTCTTTTTATAGAGGTATCGCAACATTTTGCTTGATGAATGGACCAAAAAATATTTAAGGGAAGGACATCGAACTGCTATTGGTGAGTTGACAAACAACCATACTTTTATTTTGACTTTTTTGCTCTTCGCATTCTATTTGAACGCGAAGAAAAATATTACACTTATATAGCTAATATTTTTTCTTTTGTATTTTAGGAGTAGCTTTGTTATGTACCTACACTCAACAAGGCATTCATCTCAGATCTTCATGCTATGACCTAAATCACCAGGTTTAAATACTCCATCATTGCACTTAGTTCTAAGTACACTACTTTAGCGACAGCAAAAGTTTTGATTATAGTTAGTGACAAATGCCCTCAACCGACTGTTGTGTTGAATATTGTTTCATCCACCAAAGGAGTAATTTATTTGCTTACATGTTTTATTTATCGTTTGTTTTTTACTTAAATTATACCTTTTTACTATAGTGGGTATCACCTCAACAAATCTCAAGTGATCAATCTTACCAGTCACCAGTCTCCAGATCACTTTCAGCCCCAGCAAGCACGAGATTGCTTGAAAATTATGGCATAAGGTTAGTTACCAGTTTTTGTGTTTTATAGCTGTGAAAGTCATATAGGTATTGTTGGAGATTATTGCTAAATTATCAGAATATGGAACTTATTATTAATCAAAAGTATTTTGCTTCAAATGTTCTAGTCCGACCAGTCAAATTTCCTTGCCCAAGATAAAAAGAAAGACTGGTCGATCACACGCTTCTAAGGTAACTAACTTGAAATAACTCTGAATAATAACTATTTGCTTGATTCTTGCTGTGTTTAATTTACGAAGAGTCCCACATTTATTGTTAATTATTCTTGTTGTCATTATCTTGCAACTTATGTTATGGTTTTTAGAGCATTTCTACTAAGACAACGTCGATGGCAACTAAGAAAAAATGCTCCAATAAGAACATATAAAATAGTTATTTCTTATACTCAATAATAGAGTGTAAATTTTTAATATCCAGTAACACCCAATAGCAGATGCAGTGATAGTTGCATTCGAAGATTTTTTACTTTGTTTTCAATTACTGACAATTGATAATCACTCTTATACATTCTGTTTGAATAATATTTTCATGAGAGTGAATAAAATTACAAAGAAATATTTGAGAAATATGCTATAACATACAAAAATAGAGTAGAAACCCTGGACATGAACAAATGAAATACTAAAAAACCTTGTATGGTTCTGTCTTTTCGTAATTTAACGAGAAATATTATTAAATACGCATATTAATTTTAACGCTGCCACAAGATATAAACTACCAATGAATGAGTACGTCACTACTAAGTTATCTCTATGGCAGCTACAAATTAATAACACCTTTTGGACCTGGTTTTATACTAGACCTAGCTCTATCTATGATTTAACGAACTTAAAAATGAAATTTGTTTCATTGTAAATATGAACTACACTACACCACATTAAATGAAACGTAGCCAGAATTTTAACATTGATTTTCGTCTTTTGGAAATGGCTCTGTCTACGTGTGAAGAAGTTCTCGGTGAGGTTTTGGCAATTGAAAACTACCATTATGTTTGAAAACTATCAAAGTATTTTATTTGATTAGATTTTCTACTGGAGACCAAATGCTATGATCATAAATTAAGACAATTTAACCACAGAATTGATGTGCTGTTTGATAACAACATTCGATCTCTATTTAAATGTATACTTCAGCTTAAATTTTTGTTTATTTTTATTTTTGCTAAACATTCAAAAGACAGTAAATTATTTCATTCAGTAATCTTCATCTTTATCACTCTCTTCTCCGTCAATTTCTTCCAAAACTTCTTCATAATCTTTCTCTAAAGCAGCCAAGTCTTCTCGAGCTTCAGAGAACTCGCCTTCTTCCATGCCTTCACCTACATACCAGTGAACAAAGGCCCGCTTGGCGTACATCAGATCAAATTTATGATCAAGTCGGGCCCATGCCTCTGAAATGGCTGTGGTATTGCTTAACATGCAAACAGCTCGTTGAACTTTGGCAAGATCACCATCTGGTACCACAGTAGGAGGTTGATAGTTGATACCAACTTTGAAACCAGTAGGACACCAATCAACAAACTGAATGGTACGTTTTGTCTTGATTGTAGAAATGGCTGAGTTTACATCTTTAGGTACAACGTCTCCACGATACAACAAACAACATGCCATGTATTTTCCGTGACGTGGATCACATTTCACCATCTGATTGGCTGGTTCAAAGCATGCATTTGTGATCTCAGCAACTGAAAATTGCTCATGATAGGCTTTCTCGGCAGAAATGACTGGGGCGTACGTTGCAAGGGGGAAATGAATTCGCGGATAAGGAACCAGGTTTGTTTGGAACTCTGTAAGATCTACATTTAGTGCACCATCAAAACGTAGAGATGCAGTTATTGAAGAGACAATCTGACCGATAAGACGATTGAGATTGGTATACGTTGGCCTTTCAATACTCAGATTTCTTCGGCAGATATCATAAATAGCTTCATTATCGACCATAAAACAGCAATCTGAATGCTCCATTGTAGTATGAGTTGTAAGAATAGAGTTGTATGGTTCGACTACGGCAGTGGAGATCTGGGGAGCAGGGTAAATGGCAAATTGCAGTTTTGATTTTTTCCCATACTCAATGGATAGTCGTTCAATGAGCAATGAAGTGAAACCAGAACCTGTACCACCTCCAAATGAATGAAATATTAAGAATCCTTGAAGGCCAGTGCATTGATCTGCCTAAAAGCACAAAAACAAATACTACAACTGTTCCATTAAATATAGAAAAATATATAATTTAATGAGATCTCTGCTGTACTAATGGAAAGAATTAAAGTTTAGTGCATGATAGAATAAAATTTTTAAAAGTAAAAAACAGCTAACGATGCTCTTGGCTTACAAATGGGCCAGACTATGTGAGGCTTGTGCGCAGGCCTGACCTTGTGTAATTTAGTTTACAAGAACTCATCGAGACCTTGGTAATGTTAGTGTATTACATTGACATACTTTTTGCCGGAAGAATTGATCAAAAAAACTATACCATTAAATGAATAAAAAATAAAAATCATGCCTGTTTTCTAATTTTATCCAAAACTTTATCAACAAGCTCTTTGCCAATGGTGTAATGTCCTCTTGCATAGTTATTGGCAGCGTCTTCTTTCCCACTAATGAGCATTTCTGGGCTAAATAAAGATTTATAGCTTCCCACACGAATTTCATCTAAAAACATGTTTTATAAAATCATTTCAAACAAAGCCACAATAATGTAATCAACGCGTACAGCTCCAGGATAAAGTTGTTCATTCCAATAATTTAAAAACTGACTAAATGTAGTTGTGCGGTTATTAAATTTCTAAGAGGCTTCATAATAAATTTTTGGTAACAAAGAACAACATAAATAGTCCACATTCTCTAGCTATAATTTGATTATTTCCTCCGACTTTTTTATAGCTAAGAATACCTAAAACTGTAGGTTCCAAATCCACAAAAATTGCCCTTGGAACATGTTTTCCGGAATTCGTTTCACTGAAAAATGTTGAGAAAGTGTCTCCTCCATTCTTTCCTTTTGTATTATTCACAATCATTCCATCAGGTTGAATGCCATGCTCCAAACAATACAGCTCCCAACATGAATTGCCAATTTGAGCTCCAGCTTGACCCACATGAATTGAAAGACACTCACGCTAAAAGTAAAATGTTAAAGCATTGTAGCACCATGGATAAACAAATAAAGCAGATATTTCTTAAATTATTGCGCAATGATAAAATTGAAAAATATCAAACGATAAGCTCTTCGCTCGTTAACAAAACTTAAAACAAATTTCCTTAATCGCTAAGCAAGTCACAGTATAGGTGGAGTTGAGTCTTTTTACTGAATGTGTTATACATACCATTGTTATAGGACTAGAAAATTTTGATTCTTATAAGCGTTTGGTCTGAAGCTGAATTTCAAGTGACGTACACAACTTTCAGAAGAAGAACGCTACAGCGTCTTTTTGTCAAATTTGGCAAACTGATTAATTTTTAAGCATAGAGAAGCAAATTGTCAAATCAAAGTGCTTACATCTGGTGTGAAACGTCTCAACGATCTACACAGCTGGTCTCATAAGAAAACTGGTTAACCTCACAACAACCACTTTAAAGCATAATATTCTTTCAGCACCCAGCCATGTTTTAACATTACTTATTTATATTGTTGACAATCAAGATCATGTTTCCTTCATAAAAACCATAGAAATCACTTTTTAAATACACTTTGTCAAATGAGAGAAACACCTGAACAGTTACATATATTTTGTTCTTGAACACTGATTTCATTAAGAAATTTAATAAAATGGAGTCGATACTAGATTTTTGCGAACAAATTAGCTAAAAGTCATGTTTGAAACTACGATTAATTTGTAAATACTATTTTAGATTTTAACTTCTATATATTTGACAAGGTTATTTATAATCAATATGAGATCGATAAATTGAAATAACAATGCAAACAACAAGATTGCTTTCATTTCCTATTTTTTATTGAATCAACAACGCAATTTTCCACTTTTCCTGAATGTAGAACAAGACTTTTCATGTGAAAAGCCTGTTTTGACTTGAACAAATATTAATTAATATTTTTCCTTGTGTTATTGTTCGCGCTGCCTAATTCGCACTGCTAAGCAAAATCTAGACCAAAATATATTTATTGTTTCCGCAAAACTAAAGTTGAAAATTGATGTTTTATAGTAAAAATTGCGCTATTTCTACCAACTCCATGAAGCTTTTTTGCTAGCAATGAACAACGAGTTAGTCTTGTTAGAGTTGTTTCAGATTGACTTTCATTAGCAAAGGCATTTTTTTCTTGTGTCACTAAAATACGACAACAGCTGTTCGCGCTTCCATGCACAATCTAAAAGAAACAATGGAAGAAACGCGCAACATATTTTTTGTTTCCGAAAAACAAAGCCATTGTTTTGCAAAAGAACTAGCACCCAGTCCACAAGTTTCAACTCAGCCAAAGTGCTTCTCTGGTAAGTCCTGACAAGTTGTTAGGGTTAAAAATAATTATAATTAGGCATAAACGACATCTCGATCAAGATTCATTAGTTTTTCATACAATATTTACTTGTATATTCGTATCGCTGTTTCATTTACTTAATATTTCACAACACGTGCTCTCCCACAGCTTTGAAGCTACATATAGTGTGACATTTCATGACGTAATGACGTTATTGAGGAAATCTTTAGCTGGAGACGATAAAAGACAAGTAATAAATGGTTGCTGACAATGGCGAGCAAGTTGGTCCGTAATTTAGCTGGACGTTTAGCGTTAGTTACAGGCAAGTAATTAGACAAGTGGAAAGACTTGTTGTATTGTACAGCATCTTATGTCCTATAATATTGAAGAACGCTCTGTATCTCATATTTAGTGATTGAGATACAAAATTTATTGATATATGATGTGGCCATAAATTAAAGATTACGTTCGCTTTTTTGCTATTCTGTGAAGGATATTGTGGTCAAACTTTAAAGCATTTTTTTGCACATGGCCTAAAGCTTCTCATGTTTAATTGTGCCTGTCATTGTTCACTATAGAAATCATGAATTGTGAAATTATTTTTGATGATCATTTTGCAATTATGCGAAATTTTGTTTTATTTACAATAGCCATTATATTTTCGATGAATTGTTTTTGTTGCTTTTATGAAAATATTTGTACTGTGTTATTACCATCTTACACAACAAGTATTGCTGTGTATTGTGACGTTTATGTCCTGTGTCCAACAGTTAAATGTTTGACATCACACTGAGAACTATAAAATAAATGATCAAAGTACAATTCACGCACGCAATCTTGATCATATTTTGAAAAAAAATTTGTGATTTTGTTGGAAGATGTATTGAACTTATGAAAAATTTACGTGTACAGAAGCACACATTTAGCAAAGTCATAGCATTAACATAAAGTAATATATATCTTTATATATAACCAATGTATTTGGCTATGCTCAAAACTGGCTATTTAATAGAATAGATTATTTAGGAAATGATTTTGCATGATATCTTTGTAATTTTTAATGTGTGTTTTATCAAAACTTCACAGAATCATTTTTTTAAGGTGCTGGTGGCGGTATTGGTATAGCCATATGTCAAAGATTGGCCAATGAGGGTGCATCTGTGATTGCTGTGGATATTGAAGGAAGTAATGCATTGAAGACTGTGGAGAATTTAAGTACCATGGGGGATTTGAAACATTCCCATTATAAACTGGATGTCACCTCTGCCAAAGAGATCCATCAATGTATGGCAAATATCCAAGAAATTTATAAAAGATATCCTTGCATAGCAATCAACTGTCATGGCATAACAAGGGATGATTTTCTAATCAAAATGAATGAGGATTCATTTGATGAAGTTATAAATGTTAATTTAAAGGTTTGTGCCACAGTAGTTTTTCTTATGCATTATACGCATGAAGTATTTTATATTAACTTCATGAATATAATTGGGAAAGTTCATTGACATGGCCAGTTTCATAGCAAACTCACAATTGGTGTGCATAATTATGTCTTCATGTTCTGTCATGTTGAAATCCGTTGTTTTCGGTGGATTATAACACAAATATATGAATTAGTGCCCCACTCAAATTGTTGAGTTTGCTAGGCCATTAATTTTAAGCCACCATTGACATGGCCAGTTTCAAGATATAGCTTGAAACAAAATCTAATATTTGATGCATTTGCTAACTTTTCTTGATCAGTAAAGGCCTTAGGTGAAAAAATTGCATTTTTTCATAAATTTGAATTCTGTTTGTATGAGAGAATTGAACAAAAATTATTGCTTTGCCATTATATTTTCCAAAGTTCACAATAAAAATTGTGCTATTCCTACCATATCCTTGAAGCTTTTCTAACAGCAAAAAATTGAGTTAGTTTTGTTTCAGATTTACATTCATTAGTAAAGGTATATTTTAATGTAGAAGTTATAACATGCTTACCATGTTTTTGATAATTTTAGGCAACATTTTTAATGATTCAAGCATCAGCAAGAGGTATGATTGAGTCAAAAGTTGAAAATGGTTCAATTGTTAGCATTGGTAGTATCTCAGGAAAGGTATGTATGTCAATGTTGAATATCTAATTTCTTAAAATAACATCTTTTAAATAAGACTTTATATTCATCTGACTGAATGGAGTTTTTGTTTTTAAACATGTATGATATGCTTCGACAGATTTTTCTTCAATCATCAGTTGTCAATTTGATCAGTATGCAAAATATGTTTTTCATTTTGTTTCAATATCAAATATTAGGATAATTGGCCATTCTATCAAAAATATACCAATCTTGTATTATAAATGTATAAAAAACTGAAATACTAATTAGTTCATGAATTTCAAAATTATTGAATATACTTAATGCAAGTCATTTATAAATACGTATGAAATGTATAGTACCATAAACATTGTTTATTTAGACTTGCATGTTGCTTTACATTCACATTGTATTTTTTTAAGGTTGGCAATCTTGGCCAAGCTAACTATGTTGCGTCAAAAGCAGCCATTGAAGCCATGACTCGGACATGTGCTAAAGAATTAGCTATGTAAGTTTACCTATCTTGTATCTTTTGTTAACTTAGTTTTTCACAATATGTTTTGATGTATAATATGTTCATGTTTTAACATGCATATCAATAATTTCATAAATGATTTACCAGTTCATCATTAAGGGACAGTCATATTGCATGTGCATTTTGTGCATGTATCAAGTTATGACAAGGAAATTTTTGAGTATTGCATTTCACAATCCGATTTGTCAGATCCAATTGTTTAGGTTCTGACTTTTGGTTGCTTGTTTAGACGCTCCGATGATTTTGTTCATATTTATTAATTATATTCATTTAGATATTTATAGTTGTGTGAAAAGCCATTTGTTTTATCCATTACATTTATCGATATATTTTTCGTATTTTTGTTCTTGTTTCCAAGTCTTTGTCAAAACTACGTATGTAATTTGAGTAGTCGGCTTCCTTTGATATTGTATGATGAAAATAGAGCAAGTTCTATTTCCATCCGATTTTTCATATTGACGGATCCGACTGTCGAAGGCTCACTTTATATGTGTTCACACAATCCGTTTTTTAGGATCCGACAAATTGTATAGTGTGAACAGGCCTTAATAATTGTTTATTGTATCTGAAGATGTGTTAATTTAAAGATGAGACGTCATCATTAAAAGAACCGATTATTTTTCCAACTTATTCTTTTAATGGCTCTTTTAAAATCGTATGTTGGGCTTTCATGTTCATAGTGAAAATTCGCTTTGCCACGGTTTTGAATATAGATTGTTTTTCACGCAATTAAGCTACGTATTATGTATTTTAAACACTTCTACAAAACAAATACTGTTTAGTTGTCTTAACAACTATACCTAAACAACTTTGAATAACAATAGGGGCATGTTTAAACTTTAATTTTTGCTTTCTTCCTTGCGTCAAATGTCTTTAAAGACAATGTGAATATTATTTCTTCAATGTTTTAAGTTTGTAGGTAGAAAAGACGCGAATAGGTTTTACTGTTTCTTTAACAATTAAACATGTATAGCAACATGTAGTAAAACAGCAAAGCAAAGTTTGAGTCAGAGACGTCACGAAATCACTAAAATTGCAAGCTTTGTCAAGAGCATTAGTTGTTGACCAATTTCGAATCAAAATTTTTCAATTCAGAGTTTATTTCTAATTAAATACTGCAATGTATTTCTCTTCATAATTATATTGTCAAATAGCGAAATATTGTACGTACAGTATGTATGATAGCCGAGGAAGATTCGCATTTTTTTAAGTTCTAATTTCTAAAATAAGACAAGAAGAAATTAAAGTAATCAAGTTAAACTTGTATTTTTTCAGATATGGCATTCGGTGCAATATTATTTCACCTGGTTTTATACAAACGTCCATGTTAAATACAATACCTCCAAAATTAATAAATAAGGTATTGTATTCAATTTCTTTATAGAAGGGCAACATATGATAGACTATCATTTAGGCTGTAGATGGTTATCCAGTCTATAAAGCAGGC